TGCGCCAGTTTTTTTAATTCAAAAAGTCGATTCTTTTCACAAAAAAAAAACTAGAGTTAACCTCGCGATGCAATATGAACGCAGGGGGTATATAATTATGTCAACATTCCCAATCAATAAGGCAAGTTGAAAGGCTCTCAGTTTTCGGTAATGACTTCGATGAAGTTAAAATTCATATAACCAGAAAACATAAATATCACAACATTTAAAAGAAAATAAGCGATATTGCACATGGCAGCGTTCTGTTCGACAAATTCCGTAAGTTTAAAAAAAGGCCTCTACGACTCCCTATAGTTAAACCAAAGTTTCTTTCAGAATAAAAGGCAATATTCTTTCACACTGCATTATAATATGACAATTACTAGAAGAAACTGCGAAGCAATGATGAATCTTCAAGATGCGATAGAAAAGGTAATCCCATATAAATCGCAACATACAATGTCTCCAGTAAGGTTCCAGGTCACTAGCCATTTTTTCACACTGGTAGGCAAGCAGTCTAGCCAAAACGATACGCTCTTCGCAAGCCAATCGTTGGTATCAAGGGTCTAAAAAACAAAGCAGTGCATAAATATGAGGAAGAAATTCATAATAATGAACAAACCGCCAATACTCTTCTGAGCCGTATGCCATTTGGCGATTCAGCCATCTTTTCCACGGTTGGGAATAGACCGATAGCTTTTCTGATGTTGAAGTCATCTTTGATGTAGGGTAGTATTCTAGGAAAAGACGTTAAATACAGTAGCGAATAGAATGAAAGACCTGTTAAAGAAAAATCAGTGACACTGAATAATTCATTTAGCTGGATCATAGAGCTGGTAACATTTCAAAATAAAAAACAATCGAGTGCTTGAAAGTCTTTAATTGTAAGCAGGGGTAAGGCGCTGGGAAAATAACATGGAGCACTTTGATTCAAAAACAGTTATTTGTAAAAATTGGGTGAGTATCATTCTCTAGGCATACATACCAAAAATCATAATCTAAAAAGAAAATTGCTACTAGTTGTTATGAAGAGATCTTTGAGTTACCTCTCGTAGGTAGAAGAAAAGCTTTGAACATCGACCTTGCGCCACTAAAGGGCAAAGATGTAGTTAGTAGATTCAACAAGTAGATTTGTTCTTATTTCGTCTTATTATTGATTTCCAGTTTATTTATACTACTACGCCCTAAGAACTTGTATTTTACTACGATAGCATTCAAGATGAAAAGCGCTTCTTCACAAACAATTTCTTGTGTGTCCCCCGGGAAAAGATAGGCGTAACTTGTCACTCTAGACGCTAAAGAAGGCACTCGTCACCATCAGTACGTGGCTATTTTTGAGATACGCGTACATTTTCTATAGATGCACTTTTAAGAAGAGATTGAATAGTTTGAGATAGAATAACGACGAACTTGAGCATCATATACGACCCTATGCTATGGCCAAGTAAATAGACTTTCTGTGCTTTGGGAAGGTGCTCGCGAACGAAGTCTAACTTGTGCTGTACTTGCTCGTCAAGTTGGAAACGATCTGAATAACAACATGGAAAAATATGAAAAATTGTAAAAGAAAAAGTGAAAAAGCAGAAAGTATAAAAATTCGAGAGATGAATCATTTCCTGAACCATACTCACCATAAGGCTTATGTTTTCCCGAATTAGATAATTCGGGAGGAAGAGCAACATGATTCAAGTGGGATACTGTGTAAAAGAGATAGTGTCGCTTACGATCTCCCATCCGTTCTTCTCTTGACAATAGGCATTTCACTACTCTCTGGCCAAAGTCAGCATAAAAACCTTCATTGCCGGGATTTCCTCAAAATGACCACATGATATGTTGAAGATATACAAAACATAAAGGAATCACTTCAAGCAGTTCGCCATGATTTACCTGGAATCATTAGAATGACTACGCGATTGTCGAGATCGCCTTTGTTGTCGCGGCTCAAGATCTCATCCGAAAGGCTTGTTCCAGTGACTGAAATTCTGGTCCAACGACCTCCGACAAGCACCCAGTCGACACGTCGACTGATCTCGCGAAGCATTCTGAAGGAAGGATAATGGCTTCAAAAATAAGAAGATAAGCAGAAAGCATGACATGACTTTGAAAAAGGCCCTTAGCGGAATACGAGGGTAGCAAGCAATGACGAGGACTAAAGCAGTGACAGTGAGTGATGAAGATGGAGCAAGCAAGCATGGCTATGACGACTTTCTCAAAGCTCCGAAAAAAAATCGGAAAAGTGCGATAAGAGTTGCTCTAAAAGAATGGCGATAGCGTCAGCATTTTCGTATTCGCAATGAATCCATATCATTTTGGGTTTCTCGTGGGAGGTTCCGCTGTGGTCTAGTAACCAAACGTACCCCGAGGAATATTCGTCATCGCCTGACATCCACGATCGAGGATCACTAGAAGCGGAAAAAACATGCTCAAGGTAGCAATTACATTCCTTTGAAGGACATCTCTCTAAAATGTGTTACAAAGAATCTTATCTTTGAGCTAAAGCATTGTAGAAATCATAAGCAAGGGGAGAACAAGGGAATGAATAAAAAGAAGTTTCAGTATCCTAGAAATCTTTGTTTGCTAGAGAAATGACTGTGTGAGTCTTGCAAAGGAATACCTGAAACAGTTTCAACAGCATTTTTTTTCCACCAAAGAAGCATTTTGTTTACAAAAGCATGGAAAAGGAA